CTGACCCTCCCCAGCCCCAGGAGCCCCCAGCACCAGCTCCAGCCTAAACCCTCCAGCGACGCTGTCTAGAAACCAATAAAGTCTTGCAACGGGCACCAGTGCCTCGGCTTCCTCCCCTGCCCCGGCCATGCCCTGCTGTAGGGAATGGGGCCAGCACGTTAGCCATCAGCCTCTGGCCACCCTCTTGCCCAGCCCCTGGGCAAGGTGAGTGGGCAGAGGGGCTGTGCCTGGAGATGGCAGCCACACAGGCATTTGGAGTTCATCGCTTCGTGAGCTGTGGGATCACCCACCCCGATCCCGGGGGGGTGGTTAGACCTAGGAGGCTCGTTCTGACATGGGGAGAGGGGAAACTAAAGGGACCCCGAGGTGCCTTCTTGTGGCACTGGTCCCTCAGGATGAAGGATGCTAGGCTGGGAGAACTGCAACCTCAGCCCCTGTCCCTTGAGTTCAGGGTGCTGGCACACAGGGGACCTCAGGGGCCCACTTTGAGGCTCCAATGGAGAGACATCCTTCCCACCCCTCCTCGAGGACACAGGAGCCAGGATATGGGGACACGTGGAGGAGGGAGGTGTGCTGGGCTCTGGTGGCCACCCTGGCCTTTGGGCCTCACAGCCATGCAGCATCGTTTGCTGCTGACCTTCCCCTGCTCCTGTGCCCTGGCTCATCCCAGCCAACCCACTGCCCGGGGGACCGGGGAGCAAGCAATGGGGCAGAGAGATGTCCTTATAGGCATAGCCCTGTGCTGGGGACACGGCTGAGTTGGCAGCTCCTCGGGGAGAAAGTCAAGGCTGGTGCTGGCCAGGAGTCATTGCTGTGCTGCTGGAGGGTCACCTTGGGGCAGGGGGGCTCAGCCCCTTCTCCTGGGAAGGCCATGTCTCCCCAGGCCTGCCTGGGGACCGCGGGGATGGAGCCAGCACCCCGAGGCTCCCCACGTCTTTGTCACCACCAGCTCCTCGGAGCCGGGTTTGTGCAGGCAGGCCTGTCCTGCCCACATACCCCTCCCAGTCGCAGCTGGCACAGTGATGCCCATGGGCTCATGACCCCATGCCAACCCCAGAAGCCCCTCTGTTCAATCCCACAGGCCCTGGCAATGTACCCAGCCCCCGCAGCCCCCGGCTCTGCTGCTCCGGCCTCCGCATCCTTAGCAGCCAAGGGCGATGGGGGCTGGCCTGAGCTGGGGTGGCTGGGATCAACGGGGAAGGGGTGAGCAAGGCCAGTACTGTACTGGGCCGGGCCCCAGACTCAGTCCGAGCCTCCGGTGTTGGAGCCGTTAGAAATGTCCCCCCCAGGACCCTGAGCCAAAGCTACGGGGCTGCTCCCCAGCAGGACCGTCCCTGGCCCAGCCCTTGCAGACATGATGCGTTTTTTAGGTTCATACAACACATTGTTCATCTCACAGTCCTGTTCTGGGTTTGCTGTGGGGCTGAGCTCCCACTTGCAGTTTCCCAAGGGTGGGAGGGCAGGTATCCCGACCCTTACCCCTCCTGTCTCCTCCCCCGTCCTCCCTCCTCCCGGGCTCTCTGGGGTACCCACCGTCCCCCGCCACGCGGAGCAGATGCCGCCTCCTCCCTCACGCTGCAGGTCGCATGGTGTGACTCCCCCCGCCCCGGGGCATGGTGACCCACAACCCGCTTGGCATCTCCAGTCTGTATATTTTGTATTATAACAATAATATGGGTTAAAAAAAAAAACAAAAACAAAACAAAAACAACAACAAAAAACTTTTAAAATCTAACCACAATCGCTATGCACACACCGTTATGTCTTTGCATCTGTCAGCTGCCTGGGGGCTGGGGCAGGGGAAATAGGGGCCTGAGGGTCTCTACGAAGGGTTGGCAGCATTTTTGGGGTGCTGCAGCTGCAGGGTGCTCTGCATGGGTTCTCTGGGAAGTTACATGGGGGACAGGGTGCACGCTGAGCTGGACAGGGTCCCAAACAGCCTGGCCATGCCATCGATGGCCCCATAAACAGTCTTTCCCCTGCTAAGAGGCTGTAGACTTCAGTCTAACAGGGGTTTACACCAAGTGTGTCAGGTCTCAGGAGTGGGGCTGTCAGGTGTGTTTTCAGCTTGTCACAAGATGCTGCTGGGTGAACTCAAGCTTGGGACCAGGTGGCCCTTGTTAGGATGTGTCATTTAAGGTTGAGCTAAGAGGCAGATGGTCAGCTACCACCTTGAAGAGGTAGGCGTGGACTGGAAAGAGGATTTTTTTAGGGACATGAACTGATGGGCAATCACTAGTCCTTAGAAAAGTGCAGCCTTGAGAACTGGGAAAAGTGGCTTGAAGCAAAACGAAGAGGGAAAAAAAACCCATATAAGTAAGAAACCAGCAGAACAACAGGATAACGGACCTGATGTGGGACAGTGACACCTCCAGCGTTACGCAGTCTGTTGTCCAGGAACTGAGAGCTCAATGCAAAGAGCTGCTTGAAGACCCAAACATCTTAAAATAATGGGCTCTGGCTACGGGGGAATTACCATCGTGGGACCGGGAGAGCTGTGAGCCTGCTTTTTCCAAAGCCTCTGACTCCCTAAGGGACCTTTTTGACCTGCTGGCAATTGCCCAGGTCCATGTACAGCAGCGTGAATGGGCCTGAGTGTGTCCCGTCCCTCCCCCCCCCAAAATAATGGGCTCTGGCTACGGGGGAATTACCATCGTGGGACCGGGAGAGCTGTGAGCCTGCTTTTTCCAAAGCCTCTGACTCCCTAAGGGACCTTTTTGACCTGCTGGCAATTGCCCAGGTCCATGTACAGCAGCGTGAATGGGCCTGAGT